TGGTGATGACGTTTCACTGAAACTGGGATGACGAGAAGGAGCCTCACCTGAGGGAGGGGGGAACTGAGCTCCTGAGGGGCGAGGGCCGGGCACAGAGAAGGTCAGTGAGGGTACCCAGCTGCAGCAGCGAGGCCACCAACCTAATGCTCAGAACCTGTGAATATGTCACCTTACCAGCAAAAGGGACTTTGCAGGTGAGATTAAGTTAAGGAGTTTGAGATGGGAGATTACCCTGGATTATCAGGGTGGGTCCAATGGAATCAAAGGGGTCCCTGTAAGAGGGAGGCGGGAAGTCCAAGTCAGTAGCAGGATCAGAGAGACGTGAGGAGGGGCCCTGGTGCAGGAACATGGGTGCCTCCAGGAGCTGAAAAGGGCTGGGATACTAATTGTCCCCTGAAGCTTTCAGAAGGAATGCAGCCCTGAAAACACTTTGAGTTTTGACTTCTGGTCTCTAGAACTAGAAGAGAATAAATAGGTTTTAAGCCCCTAAAGAAAAAGAGAAAAAAAAAAAAGAGTGAGATTAGGGAGGAACACAGACGAAGCAGGGGGACGGCAGTGGAAGAAGGGCCGAGGTGTGCGGGAGGCTGGGACTGGGCCACGTCAGGGGTCCCAGCAGGCTCTGTGACCATGAAGGCTGGGTTTCATTCTCAGAGGGTCTTAAGCAGTCTCATTGTATAGATAGCTAAAGTTTTTAAAAGATCATTTGCAAGGTCTTATTTTTATTTAACAGAATTTTGTTTCTAGGACTAGGAAAAATACCAGGACCAAACATGTTTATGAAGTGGGGAGGGACATCATCCAAGGGCCTGGCTCCGCACATGGCAGATCACCTGATGGGACAGCGCTTTACCATGCTGCATAGAAGAGAGGCATCCCAGGGGTTTTCCAAACTTGACACATGATAAGGTGATTCTGGGGAACTTTTTTATGTTACAGATCCCCAGACCCATCCCACGCACCAGGTATTGGGGAGAACCTGGAGTCTACATTACACAGACACCCCGGATGATTTAGGATCAGGCAAGCGTGGGAGACACTTTAAGATCATCGCTCCATGCCACCTTGCTCTGTCTCCTTTACAAAACTCTAAAGGAGGCTGGCCAGCTAGCTCAGGTAGTTAGAGCATAGCTTTATAACAGCAAGGTCACAGGTTCAGATCCCCGTGACATTTCTTTTTGCCTAGCCACACAAAAAAAACCCAGAGAACCCTAGAAAAGATCCCAAAATTCTAATGCCAATAATTTAAAAAACAAAAAACAGAAAATAACAACTGTTAGCAAACATGTGAAGAAAGTGGAGCCCTCATTTATTATTGGTGTGATTGTAAAATGGTACAGTCGCCGTGGAAAAGTTTGTGGTTCCTCAACAAGTTAAACAGAATTACCACATAGCCCAGTAATTNTCTATCCACGCAATGGAATATTATTCAACCATAAATACGAATGAAGTACTGACACATGCTAAAACATAGATAAACCTTGGAAACATCATGCTAAGTGAAAGAAGCCAGACACAAACACATTGTATGATTCCATTTTAGTGAAAGGTACAGAATAGGTAAATCTAGAGCAAGAGAAAATAGGTTAGTGGTGTCAGTGTCTATGGGGAGGGGGTGGTGGGCAGTGACTGCTCATGGGCACGGGATTTCTGTTTGGAGTGATAAAAAAGCCCTGGAAGTAGATAGTAGTGAAAGTTCCACAACATTTTGAGTGTATTTAATGCCACTGAATACTTTATAATGGCAAATTTTGTGTTATGTGCCTTTTACCACAATAAAAAAAATTGATGACAACATCTGTGCTACAGAGAGCTAGATGCTTCTCAGAATGATGATCCAGCCTGGGATTTTCTCTCCTGTGCAAAGATATTTTAGATGTGTCAAACATTTACCAATAAGCCCCATTGCTAGTGAGCACAGAGCATCTAGGATCTTGCCAATCAGACCTCAGCATTCTCCTGGCCCCAGGGACTGCTTTGGAAACAGGCACGAAAGGAATCAAAGGCCGTGCGACGCAGTAAGGATTCTTCTGGGACTGTTGCAGGACAGGCATACGCTCTTCCAGGCTGGAGCCTGGAGATGTAAATCTGGACGTCTCCCGGCCACCACAGAGCATTCCTCAGGCTGAAGCCAAGAAGGAAGAAAGCTGAGCACAGAGGGAGTCAGAACGGGTCCTGGTGATATTTTTGAGCCCCTGGATCCAGGAACATCGAAAGCTGAATACACATCTAACTTTTTTAATTGAGGTAGAACTAAGAAACAATAAACTGCAAATATTTAAAGT